AGTTAATATAAACATCAGTAATTACCTGAATGTCGCTGTAGATGTGACATCCATTCAGGAAATGCTGTAGGTTCTTATGTATGGAAGTTTTGATAATGTTCAAATGCGGTAAATTAGTTAACCGTTTTTGACAAAAAATGTTGCGGATGTATCTAAAATTAATGAAATATACGAGTTCAAAAGAATTAATTAACTTTGCCTTGATTTTAATCCTATTGGTCCCTAATTTTTATTAATATATTTATTTATAGTTCTGTGTTTTATGGGAAAAGATGCTGGTAAAGCATATCATTACATATGACCAAGAAATCTGCTGCGATTGTACATAATGTCACTTGTATTAGACACCGAGTATCATAATCGTCATGTCATTATGTTCCATATGTGGTAAATAACTCATATATTTATCTCAACCAAATGAAGTGACAACTTGCCCATTTTTAATATTTTTAATATTCTGTAGAGTTCATTTGGCGGGAAAGCTACTACATTGGTAATCGGATGTGTATCACCAGCTTCTTTGGATTATGATGGAACACTAAACAGTTTGGGATTTGTTACTCATATACGAGGCATCACTAACACTCCAGTGATGAACAGAGCAGCAGTCAGCAATGATCTTGAACGTATTGCAGAAGTTACTTCAGAGGAACAGTATACGGATGTTCCGGATTCAGAGGAAAGGAGTACGAATGTGGATACGTTCGGGTACGTAGCTTCGTTATCGTTCTGGTGTTACCAGTGAATTGCAGCTACACATTTAGAGCAGATTTTATAATCTTCTGACAAGGTTATCCAGTTTGTGGGCTGCCAAAGATATTTATTTTACACTGTACAAAAGAGAAGAGCGTTTACCAGAATTTTAAATTTATTGTGGACAGCACACTGCCAAAGGGCTGAATTTGTCCGTGATTTCTTGTCTTCACATCCCGATTTATAAACAGTTACTTCTTACACTCATTATGCACTGTGAACATTCTTCGTAGACGTTAAAAATGCAGAAACACGCTAATCAGTTTTCAAATTAGTATGCATAAAAGCAAATTAAGGTAAAGAATTTGTGTTTCAGACTTGAATTTGCGGCGTCTCAGTGGTTGAAATTGGTTGCTAATGCAGAAGATTTGTTCAGCAAACTTGTGAGCAGTGCAGGCCTTTCTCGAGACGAGAAAGATCAGATTGAACGTTGGCTGTGTTTTAAACAAGAATGCGAAGAATGTGTTGGTAGCGATGACGCTGCAAGTTGCAGGGGTTTTGAAGGAAGAATACTAGAAAGGATAGGTATGTTGACAAATTGAATTCAACTTATTTTTAAAAGAAGATTGCCATCTTCTGGGTTGTTGCGCCGTGTAGTCTGGTAGATGTCCACCAACAATTCAGAGGTCATGCCTCTGTCATCAGTCCCACGCATCGTTATAGTTCACAGGCACAGATGACGCAACAACGGCTCACCGTAGACCAATAACGGCAATCAGGCCAGTGGACATAAAAGCTAAGTACTCCTGTGCAATTAACGACCAGGAGGTGTTATATAAATATGGTTTTGTAAAATACATGACTTTATGCCCCGTTAAAAACCATAATCTTTTTTCATTTGTATTATATGAATTAATTTGTTTTGCCACTGATGATGACCTCTTGAGGTCGAAACGCATTTGGCATTGGTGTCCTTTCAAGTGTGAACAGTTTTGTTTGTATGCATGATTTTATATTCCAATACATTACACGGTATGCAAGGTTTTAAGACGACTGATTTAAACCAATTACATTCACTAGCTGTCGCTTTAATGTGAATTGCTTGCTGGCAAATTAAGAGTGGCAAGAGAGGTTAGGTTAGGTTGAATGCAAGGGGAAAAGGGAACATTTTGCTCAGTTCGTGTGATTTAACCCTCTGTGTGGGACAATAATTAGCAACTCAGGATTATCTGATGACTGATTTAAATTTGGAAATTTAAATTTCCCGTAGAAGTACTGGAGTAATGTGTTTTCAGATGAGATTACAGAGTCAGAGGAAAAGAGTGAAACTTCCCAAGTAAGTTCCTCTCTAAAAGTGACATCAGACTGTAGCAAGAATGTGGGTGAGAAGACTAATTACGAATCTGAGACGGAAAGTGAACAGGGTTCCCAGCACCCAGATTTTTTAGAAAAATTGGATGACCTGATTAAAAAATTCAAGTATAGAACAGACGGTACAGTGAAAAACAGAAAGGATTCATATATTACAGAAGATGAGAATGAAAAGACCGGTATGTCAAAACACTGCTTGGATGACGAACAAGGTAAGATGTTAGTACTATATTAAATTTTAAAATTTTGTATGCTTCAACAGATATTTAACAATTTTGTTACATCTCTTAACAGTCTACACTTTGTATACACGTTATGTACTGCAAAAGCGTGTCACAAAAGTTCTGCGGGGAATTTACAATGATTTCTTTCTTTAATATTTCCCATCTACGTACTTTCAGAAAGACCTGCAGAAATGTGTTTTGTTTTCAGCTCTGTTCATCACTGTTAGATTTTCAGTCAAAATTAATCAAAAAGTTCAAAATTAATAAAATATTTTAACGTCTGAAACATCAGTAAATAACTTTCTTCTGTTTAATGATTTATTTCACATTTGAATCACTTTTAAATTTTTTGAAATCCACGAAGACTGCGGCTAACTGTAGGCATGTGTTTACTGATGGGAATGATGGGCTATATTTGACTTTCACGAGAAAAAGAGACCGGAGTCTTCCCGTGTTGCATAAACTGAAAAGACTTTACCAGGCAACAGATATACAATAAAAACAAGAAATATGAGAATAATAATTTAAATTATTTTATACCTAGACTAGTCTTAATAACTGCAATGTGTTAAAACTGTAAATGATGCTTTTACTACTGGGGATATTTGAGAATTTATTTAGTATGTGGTATAGGTCACGTACGTTGCAAACAAATTTGTATTATTTGACTACATAGGCCACATCCTTTATGGAAAAGCAAGGTACATTTTTATAAACTTTTATAGCATAGGTTTTAATGAAGAGATATCTGTAAAGATGATACATTAGGGTTGAAACATTGTGGGCTGCTAATGAGAAGATGTATAAATTGTTTGTTTTTCGGTAGTTTTTAGAAGTGTGTCTGTTTTTCTATCATGTTTATATGTTTTTTAGGTGATGAAATCCTCAGTATGTGTTGTCCATCAAAAGTGGCACCCTTTGTAAGTCACAAGTCGTTAGGTGGCAGAAGGAAAAGCATTCATCCTGGAGCAGATTTGCCTGATATTGCAATGGCAATGAATTATGCAAGATTAGGAGCATCTATGAAAGAGGCTGAGGTATTATTTATGTATTTGTTTGTGTATTCAGTTTATTTTTAATACAGTCTGAAGTGGTGTAGGACCATGTGGTCTAGTAGAAGTTGATTGGCATTTTAGGGTGGCCACACACGCTCTTGCTTGCCGGAAGGCTTACATCCCTGAAGGCAAACCGGAGCGTGTGTGGTGAATTTGGCCGGAAACCGAGCCTCCGATAAATCTGCAGTCGCTTGATTTCTTGCCTCGAGGCTTACTGAATGTTTACAAGTCGTAACGTGTGTGGGCAGAGACGAGGGTAAAGGCAAGGTTTGTAGCATTTAGTCATCTCAACCAGCCACCGAGAACTTCAAATCCTTGTAGTTTAACTAAGTTAAACAGTTCCAAATATGTGTCCTCATCCATTCGAAGGTAGTTATGCCAGTCCGTTGGCTTTAATCAAATTTCATTGAACAAATTTATGTGAGAATATTTTGATCCATCTAACCAACTTCTGACCCACTTGGAATGTTTCAACTTTCTTTTATTTTTCAACATTTAAGTAACAGCAAGACCGATTAAAATCGCATCGTCTTCACTGAACATGTTGTAGCATCGACTTAAGAATAAAAAGACTGAGCACAAACCTGTCACAAAGTCTGAACGTGTGTGGACTCTCAGAGGTTTGAGGCTTACCTTCCGGCTTTAACTTTGAAGGCAGGCCTTCCAGCAAGCCAGAGCGTGTGTGTGCCCACCCTTAGAGGTACATGCTGTCTCAGAAATGTCAGTAAATTTTCACTGGATTACACAGTGCTACAACTTAGAAGACAGCCATCTTCATACTCCCCAACATGAGAACCTTAAATCTCACTTGTTTTTCCTTACTAGAGCAACGCGCTTCTTTCGGAGCGCTTTCTCTGGTCTGATGTTTTAGTTCTTTACGTCGCTGTTCAGAGGCCAACTGTTCTTGGTCAGTCAACTCTCTACGTCCAACTCCACCCTTGCAAATCTTTGTCTTATAATCGATCATGAAATTTTGATTATTTTCACTAGTTTAATTCCGTCTTCATTTAAAATCTTGATTAATATATCTCTCATTACTGAATCTTTTGCTTTCTTGAAGTTAATAAATAAGTGATGTACTCCAAGTTTTTCTTCAGTATCAGATAAATGAAGAATATGTTATGCTGATTGATTACTTCATAATCTACACTGATATCTTCAAGAAAATAATTATTTTATACAAAACAGAATTGTAATAATAATAATGTTAGAAATATAATAAATGTGAATTTTCTAAATTAAGCAGGTAGTTGATATGCTTTATTACCGGTCAAAATACATAATTTGACTTGATTATTTTGTAGTCCGTAGCAGAAGAATCATGCGAGGGAGATGTTAATATTGAAAGAGAAAACGATCATGAGACAAGTGGCGGTGCGAATAATAGTGTAATCCAGGATAGTGCAAGTGAAGTGCTTCCACCTGCCTGCACTTTACCACCACCCGGGCCATACCAAGAGCTACAGATGCTTTCCGCAGGGACTGAGGCGAGACAAAGCCAGATTCGTCAGGTACTGATTGACCTGGACGGTCTTCACAAGAGACTTGAGGAGTTGCAATGCACTATACAGATCAAGGTAACATGATTCAGTTTACTCAGCAACAGCTAAGATATACTACATTTATTTATGTATAAAATGAAGCTTTCGCGGCGACTGAAGTTGATGAAAGACTCTCGGGCCATAAGCCGCGTCAGGTGGCTGAATGGCGAATAAACCATATATTCTGCCAATGTTTCGAGAGCAATCTCTGCCGTCCACTGCCATTTCCCATCGGCGAGCGCGCTACGGAGGACCAGTTTTGTTACGCAGCTGCCCTGAGGATGAGACCAGAGACCATTCAGCCACCTTACACGGCTTATAGCCCGAGAGTCTTTCATTTACATTTACTTAATCTGAACATCTTGATTCACTGAATTTAATATCATGGTATCAATATAACTTGTATTCTGAATCACCATTGGGCAGATACCTACTGCATGTTTAGCTGACTTAGCTGTCTGTAGGTCTTCGCCCTAGGTACTGCAATGATAAAGGTTCAAGGAATCTAATTCTTATTTCAATAATTTATAGGAACAATTCATTGGTGATATGATCAGAAATAGTGAAATGAGAGCATCAGCGAAACAAAAATTTCAGAGGAAGAGGAGTAAATTGGAGGAGGAATATTATAAGACGAGGACACATCTAGCACAAGCCGAGAATGCGTTATTGTTGACAGCTAAGAATTGTGATCTGAATGAAGAAAAGCTACAACACAAGAAGGAAGTTGAGAAATATAAAAATCTTGCAATACATTATGAAAAACGTCTTAAAGATATTGAGATGGTTAAACAGATAGCGGGTGACAGTGCTAGAAAGTAAGTTCAATTCTGTATCTTTGAATTTATTTATGATATTTTAACTGTATTTTGACGCAGGTTATGTGTAAAAACAGACTCACTTCACTTCATATAGTAAGTTTTGGTAATTTGGAGTACTGCTTCAGATTCGAAGGTAAAAAGCTCTAAGCATTTACAGTCTCAATCAAAACTATGTGGAGGTAAGTGGTCATCTTCATGGTCTGATATCAGGTTCTTAGGTGGCGAGTGTGAAGGTGGCTATCTTCTGTGTTGTTGTTGTCTGGTAGAAGTTTACCACTATTTTAAAGGCTTTTGCTGCCTCCGTCATCAGGGTGATTGCCCTTATCACCCTGATGATGGAGGCAGCAAGAACCTCTGAACTGTCAGTAAACTTCTACCAGACTACATGGTGCAACAACACAGACGATGGTTGTCTTCAACTTTATTGTCTGTGTGTATTCGTCCTGAAATAAACGAGGCCACAGTTCTCATTAAGAGGAGGTTGGATCTGACCTACATTTTTGGATGCGGTGAGGAAAAGAAAAATTACCGATAGTCATAGTATGATTCATAGGCACACGTATAATAATTTTTCTGCACGAACTTACTCCATGGAGCCGAGTCCTTCCTGAGAAGCCAGTAGTCACTTAGCCACTCCAGAAATTCCCAAAATTTTATGGAACTGAAAGGTTCATTACCATGTTCACAAGAATCCGCCACTGGTCCCTGTCCTGAGCCAGATGAATCCAGTTCATACCACCCCATCCTTTTTCTCTAAGATCCATTTTGTGTCCATTTTCCTTTGTTTAGGTTATTCCAAAGAAATAATTCTTCTTTACTTTTGTGTTTGAAATAATTTTAAATATGAAATTATGTTTCATATTTACATAATATTCATACTTAATGAAATGTGGGCTTCCAGCAGGTGACAAGTCCATGTTTGTGTTGTCTTATTTTACATTTAATTCTTTTTCGCAGGTAGTTATGGTGAATACATTATTTCAAAATTGTTGGTAGGTGAATTTATGACACAGACCTTCAAATTAGGTTGCTCCAGATCTGTATTAGGAGGCACCTGGTTTGAATCTGACTTTTACTCAGTTTATCCAGTCAAATTATAGGATAATATATGGCATGTTCCTGTAAGTCCATACTCTGATGGAGGAGGGGAGGTGTTAGACATTCCATATTTCTAACGATACAACATTCATGATAATTTTCCCACTTTATGTGACACAACTGAACCAGTATATAATTGAGGAACCTAAAATATGACATGGATCTTACCCAAGATATAACATAAAATTGAAAATTATGCCCAAACAATTTATAATCAGCTAATTATTCACTTAATTTGGCTTTAATTTTACTTTTCACATTGAAAGGGTTCTGGAATTGGAAAACAGCCTCAAAAATTCCAAGAAGCAAATGGAGAAACTGAATAAGCAGCTAAAGCAAGAGGAGCGGCACAAACAGTGTTTAGAACAGGAGCTTATAGAAGATCAGCGCAAAATAAAGGATCTGGAACAGAAGTATAATTTGCAGGCCACAAAGGTACAATCTCTGAAATTAAATGTATCTAAATTGCACCATGTCCTTAATTTACCATAACCTAAATAATCATTCCAGGAAAAAATACAAGTGATCACTAGGTTTTCCATGTCAGTTTGAACATCGATACCTGCTCGTTTCATTTATCTTCGTTGTCTTGTCGAACGTTGTTTACAACTGTGCTTTTTAAACACCTGCCACTAACAGTATTAAAATATTTTACCTTTATTTCTTTCTACAAGTAATTTTTACAAGAAAGAGGTGTGCACCGGGTATTGGTCGGGAAGCCTGAGGGGAAGAGACCGCTGGGAAGACCTAGACATAGATGGAAGGATAATGTCAGGTGGGATCTATGGGAGATAGGAGTTGAAAGAAACTAGATTTTGTTGGCTCAGGACAGGGTCCAGTGGAGGGCTTTGGTTAATTCGGTGATGAACCTTCGGGTTCCTTTATCACTGCCTGTATTTCAGATTTATTATTGTCATGTTATGAAGAGTTCGTCTGTTACTTTACCTGTGATTTCTTACACTATTAAGCAGTTGCTTGCTGTCACAGTTACTATAATTTACTTCAGTTTCTTTCAGTTGAATGCGAAAGATGCAGGCGAAACTTTAGATGAGGAGAGGCTACGTTGGATTCAGGAAGAAGAAAGAATCGTTAGCATGAGAGAATCATCACAAAGACTCCAGGAACAGTTGTTACAACAACAAACAATGCTGGAGAAGAGAGAGGCATTTCTGAAAGAGAAACTTTGTCTTGAAAATTTCAGGACGAGGGTAACTAAATATTCTTGATAAGTACAGTAGTGCCAATACATTTTATAGTAGCAATATGTAGCATGTTTTTGTAGCCACTCTGACTACAGTTTAGTGTTGACATCTTTGCAGACGACGTCTTAAGGTTCTGTAATCAGATGTGGTCCAACACACCTTTGCTGTTTATTTCTGTATTAATCATCCCTTGAAGAGAACGGGGTAGTATATACTGCTCCCCCAGTATTGTGAGGGTGATTAAGTCGAGAAGAGTGAGATGGGCGGGACATGTAGCGCGCATGGATGGGACAAAAGGTGTGCACCGGGTACTGGTTGGGAAACCTGAAGGAAAGAGACTGCTGGGGAGACCTAGACGTAGATGGGATGATAATCTCAGGCGGGATCTATGGGAGATTCTGTTCACAGAGTGCTTGTAACAGTAGTGTAAAAGTAAAGCTATCCCACGATACGCGGTGTAGCCGCTTTTGGGTGGGGGAGAGATATTGTAATAGTACTAATTGAATTTACTTGTATAATTTACAGAGTATAAGGGAAGTAAGTGCAAGAATATCTCATATAGAGCAAGTACTGAAAGAGAAATCAATTGATATGGAGAAGGTTGAGGATTTGGATGAAAAAGAAGCATTAAGGCATGAAATTCACAGCCTTCGGAAGACAAAAGAATGTCTTTCAGAAGAACGGCGTGGTCTTGATGAAAAGCTGCAGAAGGTAAATGTATTGAATTTATATGATTTGAAGCTTTTACGGCGACGTAACTCTATAAAATCTTCTAGGGCGATCAACCACGTCAAATGGTTAAACAATAAAACCGACGTTTCAGGGACCGTCCCTGTCCCCGTCATCAGGGTTCTGAACCATTTGACGCGTCTGATCGCCCGAGAAGATTTTATTGAATTATTGAATTTAATGGGTCATTTCCAGTACTGTGTGTATAAAGTGTGTAGTTACATATTTGTTATACATTTGACTTTATTTTTAGATGTGAAAAATAATATGGACTTCACTTTTAAATACAGTGGATTCTAGTTAATTGGGACACATCGGGACTAGAACACTTTGGCCCAATTAAACGACTGCCCCAATTATGCAAAGTTCCATGTAAAGAGTTAAAAATGTTTGTTATTTAAGATTAGTCCCAAATAAACGGCTGCCCCGATTAACTGATGGCCCCATTAACCGGAATCTACTGTACATGTTTTTGCATTTTTTTCATAGTTTTGTGTTATTTTCATTTGTCTTTCTTAACTTGTGGAATTACTAAATTTGTGTAGTGGTTTAATTTTAATAATATTTTCAGGACAAAAAGCTTTCAACGGTTGAAGAGAGAAAGATGTTAGAGTGTGAAGAAGCGATTGAAGCTATTGATGCTGCAATTGAATATAAGAATGAATTAATATGTGGAAGGAAGGGGCAAGGTTTAGATAATAGTCGTGTACAGCGAGAAAAGGTAAACTAAAAGATTTAAAGCTTTATAATTACCGATACTTTGCATCATCGTATTAATTTATGTAGTTCTTAGGATGGTTTGTTACTGTGGTTTAACTGTACATCACTTATCATTTTGTTATGTTATTTCTGAAATTTAAAATATCTAATTAGCTTATTTTTTCAATATTGCAAATATTGTTATGGTTGTTACAAAATGTGAAAATTATTTATCCAAAATATATATACAAAATATCAGATAATTTATGTTGAATTGTTGTAAATGTGATTCAGGTTGAAAAGTTGATGTGGCTGGTCCATGTAGGCACTTTTCAGTGCTGTTTAAACATTTAATTTCTTTTTACTTGCTAAATAACTATTAATTTCACAAGAAGGACTGTGCCATATGGTATTTTTTAATGCCTGTCATTACAGAATAATTTTATATTGCCAAAGAATGTTTTTTGATTTATATATTGCATTTTAAATGTTATTAAATGTAATAATTATATTAATATGTGGGATGGCACATACAGGGTGAGAAGTTGCTGTTAGATCGCCTGATGAAGCTTTCACCCATGGAGATGAGAACTCTACTCTACAAATATTTCCAGAAAGTGATAGACCTCAGGGAAAATGGCAGGAAAATGGAAGTTCAACTTATGGAGTTAGACGTAAGTTCCTTCGGTACTGAAGTACGAGGACAAAGATGGTTCTCAAAACAGTGTTTTCTCCATTCAACTACCAGACATGGCTGGTAGGCCAAGAAGCTTGTACAGTTGGGAGCTTGGATAGCTCAGTCAGTATAGTGACTAGCTACAGGCTGGATGACCGAGGTTGGATCACGATGGGGACAGAGGATTTTTCCTCTAGCCTCGCATACCATTGCTGTTACTCAGATTGTAATAAAATATGTTTGTAGATATGGTTTTTCTCTTCCTCTTATTATATTTATGTTCTGTTTTAAGCATTATTTGTTTTGTTTATCAGTAAATATGTAATGGTCATGAATGAGGAAACTTTGCTCTGTGTTTAACTGTATGCCTACATTTTATGCTTTTAAAAGTTCTTCAAATCGCTACAACATATTTATATTTTGTACATCAAACATTAAAATTTCAATTTGGAAAAAGGGTTATATTGTTTCATAGTCACAGTGTGTCTTGATATTCTACATTTTGTTGCAGTTTCAGACAGAGGCTCAGAGTTGGAAGATTCGATCACTAATCAACGCTCTTCATAAGTCCCATCTGGAGGCAGAGCGGCGGATTGTCGTCCTGCAGAAAGAGCATCAGGAAAAGCTTCATATTATGTTACGTAATTTTGCCGAGGAATCAAGTGCAAGTTCAGGTGCTGAAGCTGCTAGTCGCCATCTGCTTCTCGATAGGGACGCGGAACTTGGCAAATACAGACGCGAGAACAAGAGTTTGAAAAAGAGGATTCAAGAGCTAGAAGCATTGTTTAAAACTGACGCAAGAGGTAAGGAGCATAAGTTCTTCGTTTATTAGTCGTGTGAAGACTTTGATTGTTATTAAATATGATCTGTCTTTTTTTCCAGTTCGGCGAAGAAGTAGAAGCATAAGTCCAGTCGCAATACCGCAGCAGAACTTGAAACAACTCCAAGGCTCAGGTTCTGCACCAACCACCAAAGTTACCAGACAGAAGAACAAACTTATTATTCAGCAACATAATTCTAAGAAAACGTCAAGGAGCTAGCAGAAATGTCAAGTGACTTAAGTCACGTAGCGTATTGCTCAAAGAGTAAGGAACGTTAGATAAGAAACTTTAAATTAAATTTTGTATTCACTTATTTATACCTAAGAAACTGCTGCTACACAGCTGGAAATCCAGTGACTTATAAATTTATCTACGATAAATAATTCTGTCCGGTCGGGAATTTGATTGAAACGTGATACCAAACGGTAAACTCGGAACGATAGAGCGGGACCTTAGTAATGTGGCAGTCTTGTACTCAGCCATTTCAAAGAGAAGTGCTATTTTTTTTCCGTGTCCAGTACACACCATTCAGCATGGTGTGCATTGGTGGTTAGCAGGATTCATGACCCATCAGTACATGGGTTCGATCGGGACCGCAATATTTAACGCTCCTGCCGTGACCCCCTTTTTGCGAGATGATGATGAAAGTGGAGTAATTGTTGGGATGCCACGGAGAAACCAGGGAAACACCAGAGGAAAATTTTGTGATGCCTAGACCACGGCCTTGCCCAATACAAGTTGTAAATCTGAGCACCACCGGGAGTCAAACCCAGGACTCCAGTGTTACAAGTCCAGCGTTCTAACCGCTAGACCACCATGGTGGTAAGTGCTAATCACATGCCTCCATACTGGACGTACACGCTTGACACGTGGGTACCTATTGAAGGCCTCTCGACAGCCGTTGTGTCGGCACTGTGGCAATCAACTCGCAGTTCAACACATTTTATTTAACCTCCTTTCATATGTGAATCAACAACAGAATTTCTGCGCTTTAAAGTTCGGTGGTGACTACATATACCTCCCATTTGACAATCACTAACTCATTTTTGTTTGTGGAGTGTGTTAATGTGTTTTTTATGATTCTCAGAATAAACAGCTGTTGTTTTTTTAAACAGCATTAATTAATTGACAGTTTTGTTGTAGAAGTGTCGTGTTTTCTAATACAAGGCTCTTGTGGACCACAGCCTAATATTTACTTGCACTGCACAGATGTTATTCTTATAACTAGAAACCTACACTCTCCTTCCGTATTCCCACTCATATCTTATTAATTTTATTGTCATTTACGTTTTCCTTTTTACAAATATTTCCCTATATAATTCTGCAGCGTTAGCACAATTCATAGATCTTTTATAAGCTACGTCTTCATAAACAATAAGCTGTTTTCTACCCAAAAAATTGTTCATTTGTTTCCTTATCCTGAAAAACTTGTATAGAATAAAAAAACATTTTATCCTGTACATAAAGGACATTCCCTGAAGAGGTGTGGAGTCGAGGGCAAAGCGGTCTGTATGGGGCTCATCCTGAATATTTCTAGGTGCACAAGAGATAAATAAGTTTAATATTGCTGGTATCAAGCTGTATATTTACAAAAGAATGTTCTGGGATTACAATGAAATTAATAGGTAATGCTATATGTTACATTTCTTGTTTTGTAACAATAATTTTTTGTTCTGGGATTACAATGAAATTATGTAATAGGTAATGCTTTATGTTACATTTCATGTTTTGTAACAGTAATTTTCGTTACTTTATTTGTCGGTAAGTTATTGATATAATTTCAAGGAGAAAATTAGTCAAATTGGCAACATGATAACTATCTGAGAGTATAGTTGTATCTGGGTGGGAGAAGTTGAAAATTGATTTCTACATTGCGGCAGAGACTTTTGGATCCTGCTGTATGTACACTTTAACAATATCTTACAGCTACTTGCCAGAGAAAGTTACATTGTAAAATTACTGTTACCGATGTAACAATAATTTCTAATGTGTTCCTTTAGAAATGAAGTGGTGTGATTGGAAGGAAAACCCCAAATCTCACATGTCTAATGGGTGAGTTTTATTAGTTGTAGATTTAGACCCATTTAATTAGGGCTGTAATGTTAACATCGTAGTATGTACTGCCAATTGGAAAGACGAGTAAGAGTCGTTCGTGGTTTACTTAAAAGTGCCACCCCAGAATTCTCCTATAAGGGGTAAGGAAGACATTATGTTCCTCCCGAGATTCGAAATGGGAACCTTCCAATTATTATATTACAAATACCAACTTCATAAATTTTCAATGACGTTTGCGAGGGGAATGGTTGATTGTAAAATTCCCTCCCTCCTAAGGTCACACGTGTAAAAGACCTACGGACGTTCTGGTTCAGTTGTGTTTCATTAGTTGGTCACCCTGTAACGTATTCGTTTCCGGTCATATGTCGGAAGTTTCGCGCTGCACATGAAGATGTAATGTGATTTATGTCAGGTATGTAAGCAATAACAGAATGAAAACACTAGAATTATTGGAAGATATAACCAGGTATAAGCACATTAACAAGATGTAGCTTCATTGGCAAACGTTAATCCTAAATTGATAGGCATTTTAACGACAATAACGAAGCTTATATATCTAACAATTACGACTATTACTTTTTTATTACGGAAGAGGACGTTGTTTATGTTGGATTCCTTTGTATGCCTAATAAATAATGTGACTCAAATATAGTGGCGAGGTAGAGGGCGTAGATAGGTTAGAGTAGTATTATGGTGGAAAGGTGTAATACATGCTTGAACACAGAGATTTCACGTGCATTCTTTGACGAAGCTTCAGGTTATTTTACAGGCGAGTTTCTGTCATTAATGAACATGATGACCAACATTTTGTTTTGACAATGGAAACCACTTTAGAAGCAACGGGTCGTTTAGCAGGCGGGTTGAAAGATGGACGGGGGTCAACATGTGACACGCACAGATGTCTGGCAAGGCTCCATAGCGATTTGAGGAGAGAATTCTGCAAAGCCAGCAGGCAAATCCCCTCATATCATTGTGTTATACGCCTGTACGTTTAATGTTCTATACCTCATATTTGCATAGATATAGCCATAATTTTTGTCTTCCTTCTTTTAGTGATGTTCAGTGCTTTCAAAATAGCCTGAGAACTCAATGGGTTTCTTTGCATTTTATATTACCTTTACGAGGCACTCGGAGCCAGTAGACTGTAAGCAGTAAAGAGGGGTGGGGGGGATGCTCCGGACATGTTGAAGTACATGGATTCCCCTGAACTGGAATTATAATAAGACAAAATGTGGACTCTACACTCGAACACGTGTTATTATAAAGGAAGTCATTTATGAATTAGTTGTTTTATGTTGTGCGTTTCCAGTTTATTTACTGAACAGCAGGCTTTCAGTGTAATAGATGTTCCATTGTTGATAATTTAGTCAGTACATGGACTTTGTTGATCGTGGTTTTAAAGGCTCTTGTCTGTAATTGTTCGTGTATGTTTAAGGTAAATTTTAATTTATTATTCAATAATAACTCATTGGGTCCTCTGGCTTGCTTCAATTTACAATGATAAATCAATGAATCAGGTACAAATTTAGAAGGATTCCTTGCGCTGGATGTAGTATCGAAACTAGTGTACGAGTGATCGAAGGTCGTATGTACCTCAGATCGATCGATCGATCGATCGAAGTCAACCGTGTTTACGCGTACTAATTAATATGCTGCCATTCGAACAATTATTTTAGGTCATATTTTTTATATAAAATGCCGCTTTCAAAATTAACAATTTGTTATTTTATGCAAGTTTATTTATATAACCATAACGGTTATATAAATAAAGGTGAACTTATTTTTATATTTTTTCTGAGCGTGTTTATTTTTCGTCAATTTAATTTCATTTTATTTATCAGTAAAGATCTTCAGTGAAGACACTACAACAGCATAGGTTGATTGAAAACTTTCCCTATTCGAACCTGATGGGAAATTCTCGGGGTATTTTTGTGCTACGATTAGAGAGAGAAATGAACACCGAACTAGAAACAGTTAATATTTTTGAATATCGATCATTTGACAGTAGTGATTATTGTCAAAGTCTGATTAGGATAACCCAGACACTCACACATAGTTCGCCGATGCCAGGGTAAGTGGAAAAGTTACTTTTGTCATCTGTTGAATGAAAATGATTTTTAATGATATTAGGCTGACTGAAATACATACTGCAGAGTCAGTATCTCGGCCTAATTCTTCTGAGGTTGAGATTTCTGTTGAAAAGTTGAAAAATATAAATCGCCTGGTACAGATGAAATTCTAGCAGAACTTATACAAAGCTGAAAGTAATACATTACGTTCTGAGATCCATAGATTTATAATATGTATTTTCTGCTATTAATTCTAAGTATTACGTTTTTAATCATACGATAATAATTCAATTCATTTATTGAATAATATTTCACAAGTAAATGGGCTAAATAATATGCCTAAGTAATTTACTAATTCAATTTATTAATACTAAATAAAAAAACATAAAAAACTTACAAAATTAAATACCACAAAATATGGATAAAATGAAATATTCTAAATATTATAATTTCCTTGATTCCACAATAATAATTATTATTAAATAAATTGATTGAATTATACCATCACAATAGAAGGATAGAACATAATTTGAACCATCTTGTTTAACCACAAACCATTTTCACCAATCAGAGTCGTTATATTCGTCCGTCAGCTGGTCGGTTCAGTTCTGTACATGAGAGTTTAAAGTAAATATTTTAATGGAAGTAATAACAAAAATACGATTCTAAACGTCTTTGTATATAAATATTATTGAAATTATACAAGTTTCATGTGTTCAGTTTAAAGTACGATTTGGAAATTCACATATCTGTCACAAGGGTAAGTTTATCACGAAAATCTTCCGAGAACATTTACACTTTATTTTCATGCATTTTGAGCCTTCAATATTCCATTCCTCTATCTCCTAAGAAGTAAAAATTGTGGCTAAAATATTTGAAAATGATTTCGTATATGTATTACGTATGTATATATTTGAAATTCTCTTTTAACCAACTAACCGATACGACTACCAGGCTACACTGTGCAATAACACAGAAGACTTACATGCAACCGCGAGAACCAGAAATATCACTTAATTATATAAAAAATTGAAACACCGAAGTAAACATATTTAGAATTAATAATCATAAATATTAAATTTAAACTGCTACGCTGTACACGTGTGAATTCATAACTACTAATGAGCTTCATTATGAACAAGTGAGTATTGATCTATTAGATTACGCAAAATTGCTATGCGTCACTCATTTGTACGTATCTTGAGATATTTTGGGATTATCTTGATGTAAAATGTAATTTTCCCTAAATATTTATTATTGTACAGAATGACTCATAATTTTGAGGATATGTTGTATAATAATACTGAAATAAAAAATCAAAATTGACTAAATATTGAGCTGGGAGAAGTCTTTATTTTAAAATATAATCGCTTTGATTTTACGTAGCACATGCTGAGAGGTTTTCCGTTGGAAATTTCTTGGTCGTTATTGTACTTGTATGTTGGAGGTAATCGTAATGGTTTATCATGATTCCGGATGCCGGGAGTTTACTCAGGTAGCAGAAAGAATAAAATACTTGTAATACGAGGTGATATGTACCTCGATTTTTGATATGGAATTGAAGATGTCTGCAGTAGCCTGCAAAATGAACTTGCACAAGATAGGAATGTAAGCTAATATTTCCCAACCGCTGGACATTTACTCGTCATATTGAACACCTTTTGTAAATCACTGAATTTTTATTTATTAGCTTGGTTCCTTATCAAGCAGTGAGTAAATTACGTTTTATTGATCTTTTATTTTGTGTAATTCCTGTGTTTTTAAAACGTCAAATGTCTGACTTACGAAAGACGCTATCTGGTGCAACGTTTAAGAACGGAGTTGCTCGGGAACAACAACAAATGAAAATGACGCTCATGAGGAAGTTAGGAGGAGATTAAATTCTGGAAATGCTTGCTACTTCTCGGTTCAGAATATTTTGTCTTCCCATCTGATTTCTAAGAACCAGAAAATTAAAGTATGCAAAACAATAATCTTGCCTGTTGTTTTGTATGGGTGCGAAACATGGTCTCCCACTCTGAGGGAGGAACACAGATTACAGGTGTTTGAGAATCGGGTGTTGAGGAGGATATTTGGGCCTAAGAGGGAAGATGATGGGGCATGGGGAAAACTGCATAATGATCAGCTTAAAAATCTGTACTCCTCCCCCAATATTGTCAGGGTAATTAAGTCGAGAAGAATGAGATGGGCTGTGCATGTAGCGCGCATGGATGGGGCAAGAGGTGTGCACCGGGTATTGGTTGGGAAACCTGAAGGGAAGACACCTCTGGGGAGACCTAGACGTAGATGGGAGGATAATGTCAGGCGGGATCTATGGGAAATAGGAGTTGAAGGAGACTGGATTTTGTTGGCCCAGGACAGGGTCCGGTGGAGGGCTTTGGTTAGTTCGGTGATGAACCTTCGGGTTCTGTAAGCCATCCAGTTAGTTAGTTAACGAAAAGTTGGGACCCGCAGTGCTCAGGCACTTGAAGAACGGGTTGTTCCCAGTATCCCAGTAATATACCGATTAAGGTATTGAAGGAAATTAGAAACTATTAATGTCTCACAGAGCAGGACTTACTATACTCCATTTCATCTTCAAAATTCCTCCTCTACAAAATGGTGTTGTCGTACAAATAATTTTCAACAGAAAGCCGCTTAAACACATTTCCCCGTGGTAAACCCCCGATCATTACTTTAAATTCTCACAACCTACTTCCGGCTATTCCATCAGTATTTACCTACAGTTACGTAAATAAACTTTGGATGGCACCTACATTCCTGTTCTTAAGGTTTGTAACTTAGTTTCCTTTGTGTTCGTCATAGAAGCCTTTGTGGGCGTCTGCAAACAAGACACTTATCGACTTTGGTATCTCACAATCGACTAATCGAGTAGTATTATTTCAGTTGACACATCTCAAACTCTACATTCAGTAGTATATAAGCCGGTCTTTTTCATATTTTTACCATTATTTTTACGGTCAGCTTTATAATTTTGCTATTGTTTATTAAAACGTTACTATATATAAGCATTTAAGTCTTTACCATTTACACTGAAAATGTAGACACATGAAATTCTATTATGTATCTATTTTAATAGTGGTATTTGAAGTTTATCGTATCCACAAACACACCTCATGAACACGACATGCTGAAAAATGTAGTTTTTATATAATATAACGTTTTAATAATGTTTTTATGCATTTATCTATCCTGGGCCTGTTTGAAATACGTATTATTTACTTATGGGTACATGCATTTGTATGTGGAATATACATTGAGGTTAGGTTACTGCACTAATGTGGTCTTTTATTATCGAACAATCGATTTATCTAAACGCGTATGTCAGTCATCATTTCAAACT